AACAACGGTTTGCTTCCTGATCCATCCGAGGCCAGTCGGAGCGGCACATTCGTTGTGAGATTGGCGATCTGCTCTGGGGTTAAATCAAGTGCGTTGCCGTGCTGATCCAAGACGTCAACCTCGTACGAAACCAACGGGCACGGCAGCGCACTGTCCTGATATGTGAAAATGCCAGTTGTGAAAATCAGATTTTCGGGCTCCGCTCGGGCCGCAGCCAAGAACTCGGGAGAGACCTCGGCGGCCTGACGGGCCTCTAAAACATTGGGTAACTGACAGCAGTAGAGCCTGTGGTGGATTGTGTCCCTTTCGCCACACTCGCACAGCCCGCCACACAGGTACCCCGCCCTCTCAGCGCGATCTTTGGTCCACAATCCTAGGCATCCACAGCTCTTCATTAGATACTTCTGATACCTACTCAGGCGCTTGGCTTTCGGAAACACAGCTTTTCTCACTAAGTCCAGCGTGGCACGCGTCCCTGGGTTGAAGCCGAGTTTTCGGGCCAACCGAAACTCAGGCTGCCTTTGAACTCCTAGCTCAAGCATATCTTTTAAAAGCGACGGCGGGGCCTGCGTTAAATCAACGTCATGGCCATTGTGGTCCACCCATTTTAAGGGGCCACGGTGCTTCCAGCCCGCACGGGCCAAACTCAAACAAGCACGAGAAATCGGACCCCTGGACTCTTGCCAAGTTTTACAGCTGGAGGCCTGACATAATTCCCAGAGGTAGACGAGCTCAGCCATCTTTACAAGGGCGTGCTCTGGGCGAGTCGCAGCTGACCACGCCATCCTGCGCCATTGGATAGCGGGCGCCACAGCAAATCTCGCGCTATTATCACCGTTTAAAACTACCTTAGCTGAAAGTGAAACTCCGCCGTGCGAGGGAGCATCTGAGCTACTCATCAACCGCTGGTGCGCTAGCCACTCAGAATCAGAAAGTCCCTGGATCTCAACTCCAAAGCTGCTTGCAGGGGCCACACCCTGGCGATTTATCTTCCTGAAAGGGATCTCCTTGGGGCCTTTGAACCCTTTCCTCATGGCTCGCACCTTTCGGATCCTTTTTCCCATCGCAACAAACCTCGACTGCTGCTTCAGTCGCACTCGTTGTCGTCGCCGAGCTGCGCCAGCAGACTCGTCCACGCCCAGGTAGGACACGCTGGGCTTGATCACCGACCTCGGGAGCTCAAGCTCGTCACACACGGCTGCAGCCAATGCCTGGTGCGTCGAGATGATCGCGAGCTTCTCTTCGTTCAGGGTGGCGTTGATCTGCCTGCTAGCCTCGAAGAAACTCTAGATACCCTCCACAGCCGTACCTTTCGCTATGTCGTAATCAGAAGAAGAATTGTGAAGGCCTGAATCGCCAATGTAGTTCTGGAAGTCTATCGTCGGCGACTTCCTTATCATCATGTCAAAAGCGTCAACGGTGTTGACTTTGACGGCTAAGTCAGCGTAAGCGTCACCCAAGCCGAGCACAGAGCACTGCATCTGAGTGATGTCGGCCAAGTCTGATAACTCTGGGGCTCATCCACATTTTGAATGCCAGTTTGAGCCAGCACGTGGGCGCTCCATGACGAAGAAATTTCATCTTCAGAACTTCCAGAGGGATGGTCTCGTAGTACTTGGACCAATCCGCAATGAAAACAATGCCATATCTGCGCGTCACCTGATCAGATTCTGAACGCGCTGCTTGAGCCCATGCGCAGTCAATCGCCGATCGTCCTTTGCGTGCGCCCCAGTACCCCCGCTCCAGCGTGTTATGCATGCTCTGAACGATGGCGCGCCGAGCCCTCTGCCAAATCCTGTACATACCCGCATACAGAATGATCCAGCGGTTGCCTCCACTTGGCTTGCCCGACAACGGCATCTGTATCCAGCACCGCCGTTTTGGCAAGACCCTATGGCCTCTGCCGCTTCCCAGATGGAAGCTAGCACCTCTAATCCCTCGTCGTCCAGCATCGCCGCGTGCCTCGGGTGGAAGTTGTCTAGACTTGCCGAAGTCGCAGCTGGAAAAGACCTCGAGATCCGACGTATTTGATCTGGTTCAAGTCGTGGACAGTTGCTCCTGTCTGGGATCCACGCTGCCGCTGCCTCACTGCTGGCACCCCGCAGCTTTCTGTAGAGGGCCACCTCCTGCTTCACTATCACCACGGGGCCCCCTGATGGTATGCCAATGGCAGCAGCTGGCGCGGGGACAGCTCGAACTTTTGTAGTGCGGTGTAGAGGCCGAGCGCCTCCACTCGTAGCAATGCGGCACCATTCTGTCCACGACTCATTCGCATCTTTTTCCTGACCTTTCTTTGCCAGTTCTACGTCATCGTCGATCTCATCCAGGAATGTTTGAATGCGTTGCAAGTCGAGTGGTATCTGATTGATCTCCTGGCGACCTTGAGCGACCGCATTATCCAATCGTCCACTTAGGCCTGCTCCTGGGTACGGTGTCGACATGAATTGAGCTATCTCTTCTGAACATCCTGCCATCTTATCTGGTTTAGAGAATAACTGCTGGATGGTGATCAAACCTTCTCTGAGCCACTGCCAGCCCTTGCCGATCGCCTGGATGTCTGACCCTACGTTCATGGGGTATCCAGCGTTGACCCAACGAGGTTCCAGGTTCTTGCCGTACGCCCCGCTGTTCTTTAGTTCGGTGCACGTGTTGGCAGCAATGTATTCGGCAACCGTAACTGCAAACTTTCCATATACTCTGGTGAGGTAGGCCCAAGCGACAGCAGCATCACCCATGGGGTCTTGGGCCACACGTACTGCTTCATCTGCCAATGCTGCACGAACTGTCCAGTTGATCGGCTTCGTGCGCGGCCCAGCGGGAAATACAGCGGGTAGTCTCTGCGTGACAGTGTAGACGCAGTGCTGGATCGCGTACCCATTGTCTGTTATCTTTAGTTGGACTGGCCGATGAGCTTTCTTGTGCCAACTACTTTGAACCTGCACTCCTCGAAACCCTCGTTGAGCTGCATTGTTGAGACAGAAAAATCTATCGTAGAACAGCCAGTACCACCTCGGAATGTGACTTGATCAGGCATCGCTATCACCACCGATGCCAGTCGTGGAAACTCTGAGTCCTCTAGGTCCTGGCCCGTCATGTTCCAGTCACCTCCTGTGATGCATGGCGTAGCCGTTCGCGCCATGATTCGACCAGCAGCTGCAAGAACTTCAGTGTTCTCGCCAGTCGCGCCGATCGAGTCCTTCAGGTATACGCTCAAGAGAGACAGGCTGGGCCAACCTGGCAGGTCGACCACCGCGTGCTGCAGGCGATGGTCGTATACCAGTTGACCGCCATCTGGGTGTCGTAGCCCTAGATCAGCTCGAGCCAGAACTGCGGTGCCGCCTGACGGTGCCATGCCACTCGTCGGGCGAGCTGGTATAGCAGCAACTTTCCAACCTCGGTTGCCTGCCCAGCTGTGCAGCGACTCGATCAGGGGCTCCGTGAAGCCTGTCTCCTGGATGAGTACGATGTGCGCCGTGGTGCGCTGAATCATCTGCTTGAGTGTCTTTCGCCCTCCGCTCGCATTGAACGTCGCGAAGGTGTAGGTGCCCTGCGTGGGCGGTGTCGGCGGCAGCTTCACCATTCCTTGCTGCAGCCTGAGTCCTGATACTAGAATGTTACCCGAGTCGTGGCTTCTTTCCAAACTCTCGTAGCTTAGCAGCAAACTCCTCGAAACTTCCGTCCTTTCCAAGGGTGTAGAGGGCCTGCTGCTCATCCTCGTCGAAGTCACGCTTGAGCCCAGAACCTTCAGTAGATCCAGCTTGGTCTGCGGGCACACGAGAGTCATCATGCTTATCAGCATCGCCCATGTGCACATCAGGAGCCGCAGGTATCTTGGCCGACAAATGCTCACGCAACTTCGCCCATGACGGTGTGCTGAGGAACTTCTTGAGCTCTTCATCATCAAGCTCCTCCTCCCGCACGTCGAGGAAGTCCGCTGGGGGGGCTTTGCCGCCCACGCTAGCGGCGTGGGTGCGCACCTCCGCCTGCAGCGCGAGAACCTCGGTCTTCTTGGACTCCAGCTGAAGGCGCTTCTCGGCGATGCTCTCCTGCAAGCGCGCCAGCTGGTCCTCCTTCTCGCTGATCTCTTTCGTGAGCCTCTCGCAAAACGCCTGCGCCTTGTAGAGGTCCTGAGTTGCACGGCGATGCGCCACGGCGGGGGGCCGTAGCTGCTTCTGCTCTTGCTTGATCGCGTCGATCTTGGTCTGCATAGTCTTCCGTAGCTCATCACCTGATTCGCCTTGTGGGAGCGTCTTGATCGACGCCTCGAAGCAGGCGAGCTGAGCGGCAAGCTTGGCTCGTTTATCTTCTTCCTTGTCATCAGCTTGCGGTTCCGTGGCGGCCGAGGGGTCAGCTTTCGGTACTCTCTGCCACGGTGCCTTCTCCTTCTCTTTGGCGTCGGGTTGACCACCACGCAGTAGCTTCTCGATCTCCCCCAGGCGCTTGGATAGCTCGAGGTCTTGCTTCGAACGGCCTGCTGCGCCACCGCCGCCTGCTGACCCAGGCGACTTGGCATCCCATATCTTCTGGTTGTCCCACGCCGACTTGCGTATACGCGCCGGTGCGTCGTTGCCGCATGTGCACTTGATCCTGCACGCCCAGTTGCTGCTCGCCCCGCAGCGGCCGCACGCCCACATCGGGCGGCGCGGGCCGCGCAGCACGCTGGGCTGCGGCGGCTGCGGCACCATGAAGAGGAGGGCTGTCGGGTGGCGGCGGGCTGCCTGCCACCGACGGGAAAAGTGAAAACGGATGTCGGGCTGAACAGCCCTGGCGCTGCTGCGGAATAGCAGCTTCCAGTCAGGCACGGAGGCGCGGAGCCCCCAAGTGCAAGCATCTTGAGCCAAAATGGCTACGGAGGCGGAGGAGGAGGAGGAGGACCAGGAGGAGGAGGAGGAGGAGGAGGAAGAGGAGGAAGAGGAGGAGGAGGAGGAGGAGAAGGGGGGGGAGGGGGAGGGGGAGGGGGAGGGGGAGGATGACCAGGAGCATCACCATTACTCAGGCAGGGTATTTTGCAGCATCTCCTCCTGTGGCACCTGGAGGCGCGGCCCCGACCGCGCGCCCGGGCCCGATCTCCTCTCCTGGTGCCGCCGCGGACAGCTGGCGCAGACGCGTGCCCGAGGGCCGAAGGCAGCGAGAGCTCCTCCTCCTCCTCCTCCTCTCCTCCTCCTCCTCCTCCTCCTCCTCCTCCTCCTCCTCCGTGGCCCACACGCTGCCGATGGGCCTGGACTCCGCGGAGCGGAGCGGGACCGGGAGCCTTGAGACGGGGGTCAATGCAAACGGGGGTCAGCCAGAACGCCGGATCTTCCAGGATCCTACAGGGCCAGGTTAACATTGACCCCTCACACGTCCCTTGGCCGCATATGGGATCTTCACCGAAGGCCCCAGTGGCAGGATTCGCATGCGGTCCCTCATCATTTCGGCACACCCTTTGCGAGGATCGTGGTCCCGTAGGGCGCTTCACCAGAACCCCCGGTGGCAGGATGCCCGTGCTGTCCCCCCATTTTGGGACACCTCTCGCAGGGATCGCGGCCCTAGAGGGAGCTCCACCGAATGTCCCAGTGGCAGAGTTGGCACGCTGTTTCCACCCGTTTCGGCACACCCTTGCGAGGATCCGTGGTCCCGTAGGGAGCTCCACCTTCGGCCCCAGTGGCAGGGTTCGCGCGCGTTCGCGCGCAGTTCCCCCCCCCCCCCCCCTCATTTCGGCACGCCCATCAGGAGGATCGTGGCCCCATAGGGAGCTTCACCGGAGGTCCCAGTGGCAGGTTTCGCATGGCCCCCACTCCTTCCCGCGCACGCCCCTCCAGAGGATCCGTGGCCCTGTCGGGAGCTCCACCCGACGGCCTGGTGGCAGGGCTCGCGCGCGGCCCCCACGCCACTTCTTTCGGCACACCCCTTACGAGGGCCCACGGCCCCGTAGGGAGCTCCACCCTCGGCCCCAACGGCAGTGTTCGCATGCGTTTTTTTTCCCGGTTCGGTACACTTTTCGCGAAGATAATGGCCCCATTGGGAGCTCCACCGAAGGCCCCAATCGCGCGCCGCCACTTCGCTGTTTCGGCATACCCCTTTTTCACGATTTGCTCCCATCGTTCGGATGATTTGCCTTGCGGCATTTGCAGCTGAATGTGGTTTGGTCTTCCACTCGGTTCCCAGTCACCCTGTCGTGTTGGGTCTTCGTTTTGAATCAGCAGCGCCCCGCGTCACACCCTTGCCACGATTTCAAGCCCCATAGGAACCCCACAGGAGGCCGAAATGAACAAGTTCGCATTCTGTTGTGACCTCTTTTCGCTCGCCCCACGCAGTGCTTCTCAAGCCCCATAGCAGCTCCACAGAAGGCCAGCATGAACAAGTCCGCATGCCGTCATAAATTCATTTCGATCACCCCTGCTGCGCCTTTCAAGCCCCATAAAAAAAAGGCCGACATGAACATGTTCGCATGCAGTCGTGGGCTCATTTCGCTCGCCCTGGTCCGCGCCCCATAAGAGGCCCACAGGAGGCCGAAATTAACATGTTCGCATGCAGGCGTGGGCTCATTTCGCTCGCCACGCTTTTCAAGCCTCAGATGAGCTCCACAGAAACGCAAAATGAACAGTTCGCATGCAGTTGAGGGCTCATTTCGCTCCCAACTGCCACGCTTTTCGAGACCCATAGGAGCCCCACAGAAGGCCGAAATGAACAAGACCGCGTGCAGTTGTGAGCTCAGTTAGCTTCCCCCTGCCACGCTTTTCAAGTCCCGTAGGAGCTCCACAGAAGATTGACACGAACAAGTTCGCATGCAGTTGTGGGTTCATGTCGCTCCCCCCTGCCACGGTTCCCGAGCCCCATAGGAGCTCCACGGAAGGCCGAAGTGAAAAAGCTTGCATGCAATCGTGGGTTCATTTCGCTCGCCCCCGCCACGCTTTTCAAGCCCTGATGAGCTCCACGGAAGGTCGAAAAGAGCAAGTTCACATGTAGTTGTGGGCTCATTTCGCTCGTCCCTGCGACGCTGGGTCTTTCGCCGGGCTATGTTTTGGGATCCGTTCCGCATTCCCATGGATTTCTAAAGGTCCCTCACGACTTGAAGAGGATCTCCGTGCGGGTCCTGAGGAGGATCCTACGGTTTTCTTTGGGATCTCGGAGATTCCTCAGGATGCAGACGGATGCGCAAGGATTCCTCAGGATTCCCTCGTCTTCGCTCGCGCCCGCGAGCGTGCGATATATCAATGTGCGTTGTGGTTGAGGCCGTGTTGCGTGATCTGTGGGTCTTGCATGGTAGAAACCTTGCGAAAGTGAAACAGGAGAGAGGGAACCAGGGGATCAGGGCAGGGCAGGGAGGGAGGGCAGGGCCTTGAGCTGGCTTGCACTTCGTTGCAATGTTTTGTATGGTTTTGCATCGTCTATCATTCCTTTGAATTGCGTTGCACTGCCTTGCCTTGATTTGCGTTGCTTTGGTCTGCGTTGGTTTGCTCGCATTGCTCCTCATTCCTGTGCATCTTGTTGGTCATATGGACATGTTGAAAAACGGATTGGCCATACGGAGAGCGGACAGTAATTAGAAGAGCGTTTATAGGGGTGTTTCGAATGGTTCAATCGGGAAGCTTTGTCACTCACGACTCCTTAGGGATGGTTGATTCGTTATGCGTATTTTGTTGCAAGTGTGTCGTAGTGGTTTAGTACGGAATCGCTACTCAGGTTTTTTGTGTAAGGACTCGTTCCGCCGAGGTTCCTCAGACGGAAACAGTCCTCATTATGTATTCGTTGGTGCGGATTGTTTTATTTTCAAGGGTGTCATTATAATGATGTTTGGGTAACGGTGCGGTTCTCAGTTAAGGGTTGTTTCGTAAGGGTTCGTGGGTAAGTATCCGTCAGTCGTGGTCCAACATTGTTCCTGTCGTTCGGATTATAGAGTATGTCTTCTTCAGTGCACGCCGGTCGTTGAAAGTAGGCATGCTTGGATGCCCAGATCCCAATTTGGTTTAGGCGGCGTCCTGCTTCAAGAGTCGAATGTTGTCCCTCTTCCCTCCTCTTCAGGGGGCGGGCGGAAGCCCAATCTACTTCCAACGCCTTCCTATCTCATGTTTCTACCCACTTCTTCCGACCGACGGGTAAGGATTCTGTAGGAAGGGAAATGTAGTTTCGGGCTCTTTGGGAAAGACCAGGAGCTTGTATTACGGAATCACCAATAATGAGTTTCCAGCCTACATTTTTCAGTCGGAATTCGTTCATGAGGATTTGTTGTGGGGAGCCATTCGTGCGGATTCTTGGCTATGGCCTCTTGAGTAAGGCCTCCGTGAAGATTATGCAGCCATTATTATGTAGTGGTGATTTGTAATGAAGGCTCTCCAGTCGGGCGTCTTTACACAGTTCTTTCTTAATGATGCTTGAAGTGAGGGTTGTTTGAGGATTCTCTTGGACGATTCAGGAAGGACTCTTCAGCAATGATTAATTAGCGAGTGTTCTTCAGCAGTGAACCATTAGTAATCACCCTTGTGTACGAATTATTTTAGTCTGTGTTTTTTTCGTGAGGGTTTCTAGGTAAGCGTTATCAGTCATGATGCTCCAGTAAGAATTGTTTAGCAAAAGCGGGTCAGTAAGGATGCTGTAAGCATATCC